ACTTAGTATAACCACTCAGCATACTTTCAAAAGCAGTTCCATTCTAATTATTGTGGCTTTCATATATATATATTCATCACGATGAAATACAACCAATCTGATTGATGATGAGGTTGTTAACAAATATGCTATGAGTTCATGTGAAAGTGTCTAAATAGATAAAATCTCAATAAAATCTGAAAAACCCTAATATTCGTCTGACACATTTGGCATCAATGGACACTTTGGGATCTGCTCTAGAAGTTAAACAGCTTTTCACTCAAGAAACATTTTATTTGCAATATTACCAATATTGCATTCATAAAAATATACTGGTCTGGCATATACATGACACTCTCCATATGGAATACACTCTCAGTTACACTACATTCTCACTGTACGGAGACACAAACACAGTGTGACGTGTTAGGGGTGTTTTACAATGTCCCACTTGCACATTCAAAGCCAGGATTAAACGACTGTGTCCCCATTTCAGACCCCTTCACTTTACCTGAGAAACCAGATCTTCTCTAATTACACAGAACGATACTGTTGTACCACACATTAGTGCATGAGCGAGCGTGTGTGGGAATGACTAAGTGTTACCGACTGTGCTTCATCAGAACCAGTGAGTGTTCAGAAGAAACTGGCTGAAACTCAGGGTGTTTATCTGGTTTCCATGCTGTGTGTCTGTGTGTGGATTAGACTCAGGGGGCCGAACTTAGATCACAGGGCTCTATGCAGAGTACAGTGGGGTGTAAACAGAGGGGAGGAGAGAGAGAGGTTATAGGAGGAGAACTCACACGATAAAGCCTTCTCTTGCTCCACATGCACTCCCTTCCTCTCCTTTTCCTACAGTCTCTCTGAAAATCTCCCTCAGTCTTTTTATGCATTTCTCAGTGGTGCAAACAAAAACAATATAGCTGACATCAAATTGTCTCTGCAAACCTTCTCCATGCACCATTGTCTGCAGTTGTTGATACTGTGATAATGTTGCTCTGATGTACCTCCTTCTACCACTGGGGCACATAGACACCAGTTTAATTTACTTAATTGCTTTCATTACAGTCAATTCTGCAAATAAGACATTATTTAGGTCCACAGACATTAAAATAAGGTAAGACGCTTGGCTTCACTACATTGATTGGATATGTAGTGTTTTTAAAGAGCCATTGTTGACTGGAGCACTTTTTTAAGATTCTTCCTGTCCCTTGTCTCTCATTCTCCTGAACATGCTGCTCTTGTGTTGCCTATAAAATTTTCTCAACATTATCTGCCCACTGTTGTAAAATGAGCAGTTCTATCCAAGAAGCTTGAATCACATCAGCACTCGAAAGCAACCACAGCCTTGTTTTGTGATTTGGATCACCTGCATGCTCATCTAGCCACTGAAGCACACTCAGCTCTCCCTCCCTGAGTGTACAGGGATGCAAGGAGACAGTAAAAATGGATGAGTTTATTGCTTTCCCTCACAGTTTCTGCAGATTTGAGCAGCAGGCCCTCGGAATGCTCCGGCAGCCAAACTTTTTTCATGAATCTTTCGCTCACTCGTTTAATTATTCAGTCTGGCTCCACACTGGAGACGGCAGCGACAGGCCAAAAGGGTGGAGAGAGACGGATGCAGGAGAGAAGCCGCCATGCAGTTTACTGTACATCACATACGATGGATATTTTAGTTTCTCAGGTGCTGGAGAGAAAAGTGCAGCTGAGAGGTCAGGAGGCACCGAAGCAACTGAGGTGACTTATGGAGTCAAGAGTAAAAGTTTCCTGGACGTCTTTATCTTCTCTTCTGTGCGTGTTGTGTGATGGGAAGCCCTGATCCCCTGAGAGCTGCATGCATATCGATGTAGCGACTATCTCGTGTGCTCAGATGACAGGTGCAATCTATGTTAGCAAGGACTAAATAACATCCAAACAGGTTTGTTTATTTCTCCTGCTGTGAGCAGACAAAATTCTTTATATAGTGACTGTGTCAGAGACATTGGTTCAACTGCCTCCTTCCCACTCGTGGCTCATGCTCACACCGTCAGTGATGTAAACCCACCGGTTTGCTCATGTGTGCACGCAGGCTGGTTTCGTTTTCACACAAACACGCACACAGTGTCAGCCTCACTCAGCAGGACGTTTCTCCACATTTCTGAGAGGGAGAGCTGCGATGCTGCAGACAGAGACGGAGAGAGACGGGGACACGGCGCAAAGCAGCAGGAGGGAAATGAGGCTTAATTAAATCTCCGGGGTTTCTATGACATTTGTGGGCTGAGCAGGAAATCTCAGTGAACCCCCCCCCCCGTCTGGGTAGTGGCTCTGATGTCTTCAAATGATATGATGGATGAGGGGCATGCACGACAAACATGATGTGGTTGAGTATTTTCTTGTCTTAATTCAAAACTGATTTAACGTTCAGATTTTGTCGTGCTTTCACGCAAAACCCTGCTCTTGCACTCAGACAGCTCCTGTATGTTCACAGATTTGCTCTGCTTGCACTCAAACTGCAGCAGCATTTTATGGGTATAAACAGCAAAAGTAACCAGCTCGATATTAGACAAACAACAGTGATAAAGAAAGAAAAGAAAAAGGGAAGCATTTGCAGCCCAAATCTGTCTGCCCTTGTTTTTTTGACGTCAGTTTATCTTTATACTACTGGAAAGACCTCAAACTCTGATCACTGACACGAGCAGAGCGAAGCCGCTGCTTTACCTTCACCAGCTTGAACTACATAACTCCGAACTCATTGCCTCATTTCAGACCCTCACATTCTATTTCTTTCCTTGTTTGAATAGTCATCACAACAACTGCTGCTCTCCTCTGCCCCTCCACCTTCCATTACGCCTCTTTGATCTCTCCATCTTTCTGTCTTTCTTTCTGACTCCAGCTCAAACTCATCTCCTCGGTGTCAGGGGGTTTGATTGACAGCTGTGTGCTTTCAAATAATTGCATCATAATTTCCCAGCACCACTGACTGCTAAGCCTTTACTAAATACTGTAGATGTGCATTTATCTGCGTTTTTTACTTTTAACGTCCAATTCTAATATCACAATCTGTCACTTCAATATGCACTTAGTATGAATTTCTCAGTGCAAAACTAGATTCAAAGATAAGACATTAATCGCTTTATACACCAATGCTCCCATTGTGTTTTGCTCATTTTCACCTAACAGCCACAATACAGACAAATAGTTCTGTATAGTTAGCATTATGCAGTTTTGAGGGTTCAGGAGGAGATAATTCTACTCACTATAGTTTAAAATCAAAATCAAAATACTACAATAGTACAAGTTCAAACACATCAAAATGTACTTTAGATTAGTTACTTTACATCAGTACATCAGTTTTATTACCTCCATCTGTTTTTAAGTAAGATTATGCAAAAACTGCAGATTTCCACAAAACCTGATGATGGAAGGACGAGACAAAAGCAAAGAAAGAACCCAGTAAAATTTTGCATTTCACATCGCAAGATGTTTTTTTAAACCAAAACCAATTTCTCAGGGAATAATTAATGGATCTTGATTTTTACCCATGAGTGTGTGGTGCAACTTGATTGTGTTTAAGGAGGCTGTTGAGCCTTGGCTGAGGTGTGTGCTTTATTGCAAGCCATTCTAGTTTTATAGGACTTTGGCCTCATTCATACCATGGACGTGACCTTGTGCTGTGCAGAACCTGGAGTCGATACCTCTGGCTTGTCCTGGTGGACGGGGCACGCTGCGCTGCCAGACTCGTCCTTGCCTCATCATCAGCAGAGCAGAGGGGCCGTTAAATGTGATGGCCCACCGTTTCCCCTTTAACTCGCCGCCATCAGATCCAATGTGACATGCACAGTGCTGCTATGCAGATCCGAACTGGCTTCTCACTTCACACCAATCTGCACTGTCTCGTCACAGGGCAAATGCTGCTGTCTCCTCTGGCACTGCCATGACACAAATACACACACATAAAGAAAGAAAGAAACGACCTCCCCATTCAACACACACACGCACACACAGAGCTAAGTGGTCAATTCATTCTGAGTGTAAAGATGATTCATCTTTGGGTGACTGTCAATTTCCCCTCTGGACTCATCTCTTGTGTCTCTGCCTCCTCCTCTGCCTTTGACTCTGTTCTCCCTCCTGCTGCTCTGCTCTCTCTGGGGTCTCTGGTTTTTAACTGAGAAAGTGGAATTCAACAAGGAGCCTGCAAATCTGTCTGAAGTTAAATGAAAACTAAAATGTGTCTGTCCTCCTAGGATAGAGTTTGGAGTTTTTCTTTAAGCGTACAATGTCTATGTACTGACAAACACACATTTTTCTCTGTTTGAGCCCTATGGGGTTTCACAATAGAATAGTATTGGTGATACTGGATTACAGGAAACCTGGTGAAATAAACGTCCTCAACAGTTGGTGAAGGGATGAAACCTGGGCCTGGGAAGAACCTGCGAAATGTTGGTGAAGATTAAGGTATAGATGCAGGTATTTCTTTGATAGATACCTTTTCAACAGTTTATGAATATTTCTGGGAATAATGCAGAGATCTTGACAATTTGGTGCAGATCCATCTGCTGCATATTTTCAGAATTTTTACAAAGATTTGTTCCACAACTGTTTTTATTTATTGTTAATTTTCCAGCTCTAGTGCATTAGAATAGACTGTATATAAAGATCAACGACATGTCTCAACTTACAAACCGTCTTCTTCTTCTTTCTTCTTTCTTCTTCTTCTTCGTCTTCTTTCTTCTTCTTCTTCTTCTTCCTTCTTCTTTCTTCTTCTACTACTTCTTCTTCTTCTTCTTCGCAGGTGGTCAGCTGAGAAAATGGATTATCTTGGCCTTGTAAAATATGTTTGCAGATTAAAAGTGAGGTTGTTTGGGGGGAATTATTTCACAACTTTATTTTAGACTCTCAACCAAAACAGTTCCTCAGACGTCCGTAATGTTCAGACGTTGCTTTTACTCCCGCCACCACAGGATGGCGCTGCTCAACAGTAACACCCGTGTTCCGGTTGATTTCAGCTAAATGACGTGAAGAAACAACCGCGTGCACGTTAGCAATGGATGAAGAGTCAGACTGAGCCAACACCTGATCTCAGGTAAGAGCCTCTTCTCCCACTGTGTTGAATCCACATCACTGGTGTGTGAGCCTGGAGAACCTGAGTCTGTTTAACTCTGATGAATGGTGGTCTGCTAGTTTACAGGTGTCACTGATGGATGTGGATATAACATGGAGCTTTGTGTCAATGACAGTTGAACATTAATTCTGTTTCATGTGATGTTCCTGCACAGCTGAATCATTTTACCATTTAAATCCTGTGTTAGATACACGTGTGTAATGAGTGAAGCTTCCCCTGTATGAAATTTGACACCAGGCATCTGAAGTGCGTGTTTCCATGTTGGATGTATGTATTACTCCGTCCATTTTGTTTGTAAAATGTTTTTTCTTTAGTTTAAGCTTTATCTAACGGGGAAAGTACGGTGGCCGAGAGAGCTCAACCCGCTCTAAATTTGGAAAACGTGTGTAAATGGTACAACACGTGTAAATTAAGAAAACGACCTCATCTGTATGACGACACATGCGCTGGAAAAAGTCAGATGCAAATACAGAAACATGCTGCAAATAGAGAAAACGATGACAGAAATGTTTCCAGGGGACCCACAAAAGTGAAGAACCTGTAGTTCAATGCTTTGTGAAGTTAGTTGCTGATGGATTGAGGACGTGGCGACGCGTCGTCCATCTTCAAATACAGTCTACGATGCTTTCAAGGAAGCTATATTGAATTATGTCTCGATACATAACTAATGAATTTATCATTGTGACAGTAATGATACAAGCAGTGAGTTTGGGCGAGTGATTCCTGATCCCAATTCAAATATTGACATTTGTATAGCAGCTGTTTTTTAAAAATGAATTTCAAATGATTGTTTTTGTTTTATATAGTTTTTCTTTTGATATATAACCGTCTCCCTCTGGTCACTTTGGAACCTTTTCCAGTAAAGCCCTCACAGGATGAGCCAAATGTCGAGTGGTTCTCAGTCCTGCTTTCCCAGCGTTTCAACATTTCTCAGGGGCCTTCATCAGTTTCTGAAGAGTTTTCCTCAGGACTGCAGCTGGTAGAGATATTCAAGAAGCACACGGACGATGAATCATGAGGGAATCATTGTTTTTCGATTGTCGTGATCCATGATATTTAAATGACTATTGATGCCTCGCTCTTGGGAATTGATGATCTGTGTAAGGCTGGTGTTGTTTTGACGTGCTGCGTCACTGTAGCACCAGAGGGAAAATGAATATAACATGCTGCGTATGACAGTCGACCGGTTATGTTTGTTTCCTGAGGGTTGATAACTGTGCAGCTGTCTCCTGTGGTCAGATACAAGTGTTTACCTTAATGGCATCATTCACTTTGCAGAGTAGAGTTGTGGATGGGATTTAGCTTGTTGTCGACTGCTTTGGTATCGTCCCTCACATTATTATTTAACCATAAACACGGACAATTTTTGGCGGTTTTGTGGATATGATCATGATGCAAAAGACAAAATATTTAAGAAACATTTCCCAACATTTTCTCCTCGACACTGTCGGCCATTTATTCATTTTTACTCTATTTTTTCCAAATAAATTGTGACCCAGTGAACATTGGGCAAACTGGGTATGGAGAACATAACCGTATTTGTAATAAAATGTGCAGGCTACAGGTTACTGCTGTGTACAGATTGCTTTTTAAACTTTCTCCAAATCACCTAGTGCCTCAACAAAGTTTGTTGTGTACTCAGCATTTCTGCTTTCTTTCTTTTAAACTTCTTGGCCACTTTTCTAGATGTGTATACTGTCAAGTGATAAAGCACAGATTCCATTAAATCTACTTTTAAAACTGTAAATTCGACTCAGTACCCATCCTGCCAGATCTCCTCCAGTACTTTCGAGCAAGTGCTAAAAGAGTCTGGGAAATAATTTATTTCTCCGCAAGTGGGTCACCAAGCAGCCGCAGAAGGTGAAATATTGAGATGCATTAAATCATTGGTAGCTTAAAGGTGGACTGTTGTGAGCTTAAAGGAAGTGTGTGAGTACATGGGGTTGTGTGAGTCTCCATGTGTGTGTTTCGCTGAGTGTTTGTGGCTGTTACATACTCTGGATCTTTAATAAGTTAGGGCCACTGGAGCCCAGGGTTTAATTAAGAGTTAGAGACAGATTTAGGCCTCAGCAGCACCATGCTGGTCTTCTCCTTGGACACACACACACACACACACACACACACACACACACACACACACACACACACACACACACACACACACACACACACNCACACACACACACACACACACACACACACACTCACACACTCTGCAGGATCAGTGATGTCCTTGGAGGTTTTATAAATCACACTGAATATCTCAGAAATAAACTGGGTGCTTGGCAAGAAAAAGTGCAGAGAAAAGACACAGATCTTTGAGATAAAGACCAAAAGAAAAATGACAAAGTTTGAAAAGAAAAACATGAGTTAAGGTTCAGAACGATAGAGGGAATAATTGAAAGATGGCGAGCGATGAGAGAATGAAGAAAGTGTGGATGAAATGTGAAATCACATCAATAGTCTGGAATGAAAGAGGCGAGTGGAGCAGAGCTATGGCAGACCCGATAAAGTTTGCACTACATTCATTTATCTTGGCCGCAGGTGGAGGCCTGAGACCTGCACTATACATTCAAAAATAAATAAAAGTAAAGCAGTTTTTTTGTGCATGTGGAAAATACTCCATCTTCATTCCGATGCCTCTTTTTAGGTAGATATTTATCGTGTTCTTCCATTCCACCTTTTCTTTTTTTCTAAAGCAATAAAGGAGGTACAATTTGGACATTAAAGTAAGAGCACAGAACAAATTGCAGAGCAAAGAGTGCAGAATAACGCAGAAATAAAAGCTGCTCCTTTATGCCAGACTCAAACCCAGACTCAAACCCTTTGGTCTCTCATGTAATTGAAATTCAGGAGTTATTCATATTTTGGGACTGGATTTTTAAAATTTAATCAGACACTTGAGGGATAATGCTTCGCACTTGACATTTACTTTTTCATTTCTCTCCTTTTTATGAGGTTTTTTTCCTCTGTCCTGAGCAAGTTGTGCAAAATGTTTTGAGTTTAAAGTTCAGTGTGTAAGATCTATTGGCAGAAATGGAATATAAAATAACTCTAGTGATGTTTTCACTAGTGTGTTTCATCTACTGTAGTTTGAAGTGTTGTTTTCTTTACCCTATGGACTTTTGTATTCAAATATGTTTTATTTACATCTGGAGCAGGTCCCCTATGGAGGCCACCATGATTTTTCACAGTATTCCAGACTTTCTTCTTCTCAAATATTAGGATGTGTTGCTTTTCTCGAATTTTCTCTTTGGCCTCGCCAACATTAACTGCATCTTGGGCGGTGATACAATCACAAGTGGAGGGCTCTAAGTTCAGATGTCAATGCAGCCAGGACTCACCGAGGTCACTTTTAGATCTGATCACTCATATCACATGTGCAGGTTTTCTGGGTAGTTCAATAATTCTGCATGCAGTTGACGCTGATATAAACATGTCTGGTCATCTGCGTGCAGAATTATGCATCGTATTTTGAATTATTGTAGAAAAAACACTGTGACAATGTGAAAAACTAACAGTTAACGATAATACACACTTTCAAACTAACACTTATGATTTTCGAAGCCTAAACAAAATCTGGCTGTGAATGACGGCAGCAAGAGTGTCTTAATACATGTGAGAGTTCAGCACATTTCCATACATACATGATCACGACGGGCAAGTTTTGGACAACTTTTAAAACAGTGTATCCCGTTTCCCGGTGCATCGGTGACACAGCTCAGCGTCTTTGTGCGTGACACAGATATTGAGGGACCTCATTCAGAGCCTCGCACACTCTTCTCAGTCTGGGAGATTTATGAGGTGTGAGTTTCCATCTGAAACTCTCTAACCCTTTATAATAAAGTGAGATTAATACCGCAAAGATGTTCAATCAGTGGTGCGACGTGCAGATTTGTTTTCACAGATGAGGCTCCGCTGCTTGCTCTTCTGTACTCTATCCCTCATCCTCCTCCCTCATCACGTCCATTTACTTCACAAGATCATTTATATTTCCCGGAAAGGGGAAGAGCTTCTCATTAGTATGCAGAGAAGCGGAAGTACAAACGGCACAGAAGTATGAAAATGAAATATTCATGAGGATAGAGAGCTATCTTTGAGTGCGAGAGATGAGGACGTAGAAGAGAACAGTTGTCATTTGGACACAAGCTTCCATCCGTCCGTTTCTGTTTTAGGACAGCCGGACTCTTCTTGTACCAGTTGACGTCTTGAACAACACGAGTGACAGAATAGACAGTTTGAAAAAGGAGGAGGGGTAAGAGAAGCTGTTCTATCGTTTCTCTCGTCCTCTTCCCCTCTCTCTTTTCGTTGTTCCTGTGCTGACTGTCACTTTAGCACTGCTGGCGATATCTCTATGGCAGTGAGAGGAAGACTTGGCAGACAAACTGAAGGTGAATAAAATGCAAAATAGCTTCAGCTAAAAAGATTCATGGGCTAAGCATATTTTTTACTGGCTGATAAAAATAAATAAATAAAATAATCGCCTGTGTTATACTGTAGCCAGACTCATACAACTGCATTTGCTCCACACCTTCATTTCTCACAGACCTTTGACCTTCTCATCCTCTGTGGGTTTTAATTTTAGTGGTTGCTTTAGTCCTTGTAAACATCCCCACATCACTTTCAATTAGCCTGATGGAAGCTAACGGCAGGCTGGCAGCCTGTTTGTTGCCGTAACATTCAGAGCCTTGTGTTTCACCTGTTTTTCCCTGAAGTACAATTAAAACCAAATATAGTCAGAAGAACTTTCGGGTAAAGATTTCTTGTTTTGATTTTTACAGTTGAATCAATGAAAAGTTAAAGTCAAATTAAAATTTGAGTTTAATTTCACTTTAAAGAATCTATTTACTGCAAATCAATAACTTTAACATGGTAATTTATTATCTCAATGATTAACTGACATAAACATATTGGCAATTTATTGTTTTGGACCATAACACACTTTTACAATGTGCTCTCAAACTTTTACACAATGGAAATAAAAAGTAGCATCACTGAAATTAAGTTCTTTCTAATCCATTGTATGATGTGATTATTTTATAGATACAGAAAACGAGTTGCCCTTGTGTATTGAGTGTATTAAATATGAGATATAGTGACTGAGGTTATGATTTCGGACCGAGCTCAAACATCATCGTCGCTGAACTCTCCTGTAAACAACCCACGTGAACGTTTTATGGGGCAGTGAAGTTATTCACACGTCTAATTCCAGCTGAAATAAACAGGGCCCATGTTACGCTCTTTGCAAAGTTTGATTATAATTAAAATAATTTGAAGATTTATTGTTTCTCGTGAGGAAAGATAAAAGAGAGGAGACAATAGGAGCCTTGTGTTTCAGGCTTTGGACGTGATAAAACCATTTGTTTTTGCCAATCAGCATTTCTCTCTCGTCCGTTTCTCTCATGAGTATAAATGTGTTTATATGCAGGCATGTACATGGATGTGTTGTGTGTTTAGCTTGGATGATTGTGTAGCCTCAGTACTCTTCACAGAGGGTAGATTACTTATTTATTAAAAGGACTCATTTATTCAGATGAGGCATCTGGAGAGGCTGGGGGGCTTGTTTAAGTCATGAAATAAAACCCCTCTACTCTTCTTCATCCCCCTCCCTGAGAAACCCCTCGCTATCAACATCCAGATTGAAATCTCTGTAGCTCAAATCTGGAAAAACAGAAAATCCCCAACAACAACAAACAAAAATACCCAGAACAGAAGTTTAGAGAATTGTAGTCTGTCATTCTTTCCTTGAGATTCAGTATATCTCTGTTAACCTTGATTTCAGTCCTTTGTGTAATCAGACCATTCTGTTTGTAGCATGCAAAATGAATATTACCTCTGGGTTTGTACAACTAATGAGTTTTCTTCTTGTCGATTAGCAGAAATTTAAATTCTATTCAATATTTTCTGTTGATGTTATTTTATTACTCCAATTATTGTTTTTATTAGGTATAAAAAAGAAATCCCTACAGGTCTGCACTGCTGGGTGAAATGGGGGATTGGGGTGATATCTGTTGTTCTGTCAAGCCAACACTGAGTTGTAGATTCTGTAAGATGGGGTAGTGGGATGTTGTCAGTACACTGTGAAGCCCTGAATTTAAACTTCATATATCAGTTTAGCCTCCAGCTGTGTAGAGAGTTACATGGATAACTTGGTAAATCTGCTCTTTGGGACAGGTTTATCCAGCAGAAATCCAAACTTAGTTTCTCTTTATCCGTCAACCTGAACAAATGAAACTGAATTTAACAAGAAATAATAACCATTTAATTCACCGCGTGTTTTCCATACTTCCAAACCTCTTTCTGTTCCCTTCCCTGCTCTCGTCCCCATGAGCTCCGCCTTCACGGGGGGAGGCTGCTGTCGCTTGTTGTGATGCCAGACCATGATTCACCCGCGGTTGACAGACTAAATCTCGTGCTAGGCCGAGGCTGATATGACATGTGCCAGCTGGGCTGTGGATGCCTCAGATTTTCTGTGCCTTTTCCCAAAGGTGCCAACATAACCAGCCACTGAGCCCGGGAGTTACCCCGCTCTTACACAGGGTTCTGCACACGCAACCTCCTGAGTTGAGAGAGATGGAAGTGAAGGTGTCAGAACTTACTCACAAAGCAATGCTCAACATGTTGTAGAGAGAGAACGTGGGTCGGAAGGGTCAGGGGAGAAACAGCTGGATAAGACATCTGGATTCAACTCTGTAGCCTCAAGATATGAATCCAATGTCATCTTCATCTCTGTTCTACAAAGCCTTTAATCTTGGGCCTTTTGTGCAGCCCTCTCTCTCGGTTGAGTAACTCTGCCGTGGCCTTCGTGCACCTCCTATGTGTGCAATCAAGTGGAGGTTCTCACAAGTGCATGTGAAAGCTCCTGTTTTGACAGGTGCTTGAATCAGGGATTAGAGTGCGGATGAGAGTTGCATTAATCAGAGGATTCAGCCTCGGCTGCTCCTCTCATCCCTCCGACTAAATATACAGCACCGCGCTCTGCAAGCCAGGCAGGGATGCAGGGAATGACTGAGATGGTGTAAATGTGGTTTCCAAGCTGTCAAATAGAGGCTTATTACTGGAGGGCTAGACGTGCTTTCATGGGTCATTCAATGTGTATATGTCTGGTGTGTGTGTGTGTGTGTGTG